CCAAAGTGTTCAGCTTTATTCATTATTTGTTTGATGTTTGCCATTAAAATTATAGCCCGTACAGCCCATCCTTTTAGTTTCAACTTCTAAAAATGAATAGAAATACATGTTAAAAATGTAATGTTTGATTACTATTTAACATACTAAAAAATATGATGCAAAGTGTCAATGCTTAGAACTAGAAAACCCAAATAGCTTTAAGTTTGGGGGGAGGTTTTCTTTTCACCCTGATGACGTGTGGGTCTCTATGTCAAATGTGGATTCTTTCCTGTGTTCTGTTTGCTAGAACCAAGAGTCATGTAATATTGAGGAGTTCAGATCACGGAGAAGGTCTGGCTAGGACTGGTACCCCCCAAACACTGTTATCTCCAATCACAATTCTGGAAAACAGTTTGATATAAGAACATCAATGAAATGTTTATGTATTACACCAGTAGAGTGGAGCTCAGCCATAAAGACACCAAGCCTGGCGAGACTTGGAAATCCTGGGCTTAGGCAGTTGGTTTCTGGGATCTGTTAAGAAGATGCAGAGTGCCAGCCACAGAGCTGAGTCTCTGTTGTAGAATAGTGGAGGAGGAATAGAAGAGCCACTTGGTGTTATTGTTGTAGGAGGCACATTACACATCAGAAACGTTCCAACAGAGGCCGAGCTAACAAACTGGAGACCATGGAATGTAGGTAGTCTCTGGAGATTTCACAGCCAATGTCTGACTTTTCTAATTTACTTTTCAAGCCAAAGTAATTGATGTCATTGTTTTTCCCCACAATATTCTTTTCTGTACCAACCTAGAGATAATATACAGCACTTCCTAAAACAATCCTATTGCCTTCTTGATTTTCTTACAAATTGTTGACACCCATTCTACAAGTTTTGATGATGACAAGGTCTTTAGCTTATCAGAAGGTGGCCATGGAAGATGCTCAGTCAACGAGTAGAATTCGTATTTCTTGCTGAAGTGACTTTGAAATGGCTGTTGAGGGAAATGTGAAGAGATTGTAGTCATGCAGTCATGTCACCAGAAATGACAACCAAATTTATCTGCAGCTGTTGTCGGATACAATCAATAACAAGTCTCAATTTCAAATATATTAAAATGTGAATCTTAGAATTGAATGGATTATTAAAATATGAATCTTAGAACTCAGTGAAATATAATCATGTGCAAAAATTTTAAATATAACTTTAAAAAAAAAAAAACTATGGATCTCACTATGTTGCCCAGGCTAGAGTGCAGTGGCTATTCACAGGTGCAATCATAGTTCACTGCAGCCATTAAGTGTCTTCATTAATTATTTATTTTCATCATTCAGCAAATATTCACTGAACATCTTTATGTACAAGACCCTGTGGTAAAACTGGCCACCAATTTTTATTTGTTACTTATGTCTTTCTCTAGGTTTCTTAATTAGCTTAGCTGTAGTTTATGAAATGTATTTTTTATTCCAAAGACTAAAATCTTCTGTTTTTCTATTAGTTCTGCTATTTTCTATTTCATTATTTTTTGTTTTAATTCGTTTCCTTTTGTTTGTGTTTTTTCAACTTTTTAATTTAAATATCTTATGAACTTATTTGTAATCTTAATTTTACATATATATATGTATGTATGTATGTATGTATGTAAATACATACATTTCTCTCTGCTCTAACCATATCCTATTATTTCTATTATGTGGTATTTGAACTATTGGTATTTCCTAGTTGTCTAACTATTTTGATTTGGAGTTTTTCCTTTGATGCGAAAGTTGTGTGAGAGAGAAATTGAAACTTACACATAGCAGTGTATTTTGCTTTTCTAATTTTGTGATTAATTTATATATTTAGTGTAGAAGGTGTTATCTACATCATTTTTAGTTTCAGGAATTTATTAGTTTTTGTGGCTTAATATATGGTCAATTTTGAATATGTTTAATGTGTACTTGAAAAGTGCATTGAGTTGGATTTAAATTAATGTATATAGTTTATTTTCTTTTCTTTTCTTTTCTTTTCTTTTTTGAGACAGAGTCTTGCTCTGTTGCCATGCTGGAGTGCAATGGCGCGATCTCGGCTCACTGCAACCTCTGACTCCCTGGTTCAAGGGAGTGTCCTGCCTCAGCCTCCCGAGTAGCTAGGGTTACAGGCATGTGCCACCACACCCAGCTAATTTTTGTATTTTTAGTAGATACAGGGTTTCTCCATGTTGACCAGGCTGGTCTCAATCTCCTGACCTCGTGATCTGCCCATGTCGGCCTCCCACAGTGCGTCAGCCACGGCGCCCGGCCATATATATCTTATTGATTAGGTCATTTGACTCATTATTTTTCCTTTTATTTAATCTGTATCATGAATTGATGGATTCATCTCCCATATATACTTGTGTTTCTGTGTTTATTTTTTGTATTTCTTGTTTCTATGAATTTTTAAAAAATTATTTGATGCACAAATACTCATAACTGTTAGATTTTTATTGTGGGTTGTAGGCATTGTCTCAAAGTGCCTCTCTTTGCCATATTTTGTGCTTTTTGAGTTGAATTCCACATTGTCTGATATCATTATCATGACCCTGCTTCATTTTACATTTGCCAGGTAGGTCTTTGTTGATTCTTTCATTTTCAACTTTCCCATCCTACTTTCCTTTGAACTTAGCTTTTCAGTAGACCATATTTTACCCTGTGATCTCTTTTTCTTTTTCTTTTATTATCTTTCTATTTATTTTTTCTAACAGCCTTTGGTTTCTAATAAGTATTTGTAATAGCATAACATAGCTACACAGAACATTATTTAGACTGTACATGAGATACTTGTTTTAAACATTTATCCATTCTCCCCCTGACTCCTCACTTTCCCTCACAGCCACCTTCCTATCTGGAGGAGTCATAGTCCTCTGTACATGGCATTGCCAATGGAGTCCACAGACCAACCTGTCACTGCCATGGCCACAGCAGCTCACGCTCAGTTCTGCATTCAGATGGATTCATGTTCACTGCCTCCTCTTTACCATAGCTTCTTCTTCCTTTCATTAAATGGTCAAAGTTTATTTCTTTAAGAAGTGTTCCTGGACCATAGTTCCTAAATTCATCTATGTTTGAAAATGTCTACTGTTTGTCTCTTTATGCCTAGAGAACACTTCAACTATAATACTCTTTGAAGTGCATAAGCATTTCTGAGGACTTGACAGAAAGTTGAAATTTATCTGATATTTTCCCCCTCATATATGACGAGATTCTTCCTTTATCTTTGAAATTTTATATCTTTACCAGAAAATACACATTACCAATTTGATCGCTTCATGAATTTTTGGTGAAACATCATGTGACATTTGAATTCATAGATTCAAGTATTTATTTCAAAAATTATTTTTAAGTTACATTTTCGAGTACCTTTCTGGGTCTTCTTGTTTTCTTTTTTAGGGACCTTAAAGAAGTGTATACTTCATTTCCCCTGTCTGTCTTCCACAGCTTCACTGTCCTCTCTAGTCCTTTTAAACTCTTTTGATTTGGCACAGTGTTCTCAAGCTTGTTCTTTGGGTCCTTGAATTCATTCTATCTGCCCTCCTCTCTGTGGTATCTAAATGTGACATTTATTTTTGTGATGGTCTTATTTTCACCTTCCATTTTCCCTCCAAGTAGTTCTAGCATTTACAGAGGCAGTTCTTTCATTAAGTTCTCTGATCCAGGAGGACAGTTCAAACTTTTCATCAGCTTCATGACAATACATTTGAAGTGTGTGTTGCGGGTTTGTATCTATTTTTGGAAGGGGTTGTATTACCTATTTTTAAGAGTATTTTTACTTTAAGCTCATGCTTTTTAAATAAAAAATGCCTGATATTTGAATGAGAGAAAGTCTTTTTCTCAGTTCTTAGTTGAGCTATAGACGAGTACTACTTTTACCTTAATCTGTCTCTAATATGATTATTTGCAATGGTTCAAATGCATTTTCAGCAGGAAAATTGTTTTTTGAATAAGTTCCAACTTGCTTTTCTTATTAAAAGAAGCCAGCTGGAACTTCGGTCTGTGTGCTTATTTTCTAATTTAATATCTTTTGCTTAAAATGGAGCTTTACTGCTTTCATTGGTTATAAAATTGAACCTCATGGGAAGTATAAACATAGAAGGCTTAAAGAAGTAAGTAAGAATCACCCATAATTTTTACCACTTAGAGATAATCACCATCATTTTGATGTATAGAAAACTGTAATTTTTAAAGTATTTAAATTTATGTGATATATATGTTTGTACATATAGTGTGTATATATATATACACAGATAAGATGGCAGATATTTGCATGTGTGTGTATACACACACAGATACATACATATATGTGTATTTAGTATATATACACATACAGGAAAAATGTGCTCATACTATACATACATAATAAAGTGATCTAACATTACTTTTCCCCTAAAAGTCAGACCTGATGTTCTCAAACCTTGCACTGAGGTGCCCTAGGGAACTAGAGCAAATTCATAGGGTAGGTGCCATGGAAATTGAAAAAAAATTTTTTTTCCTTATTTTTTCTAATTCTGACCCTGACCCTGACCCCAAACTGTAACCTTAACCCTAACCCTAACCCCTAGAATTTTTAAGTTAGTGAAAAAAATGTAGTGACATTATCTTTTAGATACTTTGTGAGTTACTAAATGGAAGCAGTTCACTTTATAGTTCTCTCTTTAGATTGAGCCTTGTACCATTCAATGATGTCATGTTTGCAAATCTGGGTTGATGCAATTAAGAGCAAGTAAATACCCTGTGAAAATTGCCTGGGAACAGGAAATGAGGGTGGCAGTATTCACTCTAAGTCCAAGGTTTAGGAAGTTGTGCGTTGCCTAACATCAAACAGATCCCTTTAATAAGTAATTTTTGTTATGAATGACATAAAATAATATTTCAATTTATGTGGTTTTTTTCAAGCATAGAAATCTGTGTACAACAAAACCATCAATCAAATGTTTGCTATAAGAAATATATTTTTAGACCCCCTAAGATCTTAAAACAGTTACTTCTCTTGCATCCTTTCTCAGGAACCTGTTGGAGAATGTACTCCTTGGAAATGAGGAAGACAGAGGATCGAGGGAACAGAAGGTTCACCATGGAGGAGCAGGAAAGGGAATTCCCAGTATGATGGCAAGTTGCTAAATTAAATGTTTTGCCCATTATTTTTTACTGGGCTGTTGGTCTTTTTTTTTTTCTCCCATTTATTTATTTTATTGCATTTTAGGTTTTGGGGTACATGTGAAGAACGTGCAAAATTGTTGCATAGGTACACACATGGCAGTGTGATTTGCTGCCTTCCTCCCCATCACCTACATCTGGCATTTCTCCCCTTGCTATCTCTCCCCAGCTCCCCACCCCCCACCGTCCCTCCCCTATTCCCCCCAACTGACCCCAGTGTGTAGTGCTCCCCTCCCTGTGTCCATGTGTTCTCATTGTTCAACACCCGCCTATGAGTGAGAACATGCGGTGTTTGATCTTCTGCTCTTCTGTCAGTTTGCTGAGAATGATGGTTTCCAGGTTCATCCATGTGCCTACAAAGGACCCAAACTCATCATTTTTGATGGATGCATAATATTCCATGGTGTATATTCTTATTGACTCGAGGAGCTCTTTATTATGGGACATAAACCTTTGTTGTGTTGCAGATGATTTCTCAAAATGTTTTGCCTTTTGATTTTATCTATAGTTTCTTTTTTCTTTGCTATATAGAAACTTAAAGTATTTATTTGATCAAATTGATTAATGTAAGGATAATTTTAACTCTCAGATCCTGTGACCTATTAAGTTAGATATTGTAAGTTACAGAAACTAAGCCAGTTGTCTGACTTCTTCCGACTTTAGATCTGTTATCTGTAAAACGATTAGTCTTCTGCTAGCTATTTGTGAAGTCGCTTCCAACTGTGAGTGTTGATCGGTATTGACTTGATGTGATGGGAAGCTTTTGACAACAAATTTAAATTACCTCCTGGAAAAATGCTAGAAACAATCAACAACAAGCATTTTAGATAAAACTATGAGATTAAGCATCATAAAGCCATAAAAAATACAGATTGAAGTGGCAGAAAAATTCAGTGACTACTGCTGAGAGACACAGAGAAAGGACACTTCCTCATTTGTCTGAGGCCTGGTGATTTGACAGCTATATGAACAGAAGGTAGAGCATCAACAGGCCTGGAAATGGCAAACTGGTCTCTACCAAGCTTCTCATTAGCAAAAAGGAAAGAGATGGGAGCTTGTTGAAACTCCCCCTGCAATGTGCTTTGGACACCAACATTTCTTATTGCATTTTTTTTTTTTTGTTGTTCTGTGAGTGACAACTCACTCACAAAAGAGAAAGGAGACCAGAGAGCTTTGAAACTCACTGACAGTCTATAGGGAATTTTTCTCACAGTCTTTAGCTCAGAAGGAGGTGTGGAAGGAGTAGGTGATAAAAGGGAGATCATACTGCCATGCTTTTGCAACTCTTTCCCCTTCTCCCTAAATTGCTACCCCGTAGAACTTTGATTCATCTTTCTCTCTGCAGTCCTTATATAATGCTCTGATCTGAATTCAGCTTTCATTGGCAATATCTGCAAACAGGAATGAGCCATTACATGCATTTGTTCTGAAATGATACTAGTTTAAAAAATTATCTTTAAATAAATACAAGTGCTTCTTAAATAATATACATCTTTCACATTTCTTTGTCCAGAACATGATCAGTGATACTAAACCTCTCGCCTTTGCACTAGACTCTTTTTAAATGTTTCATATTTTCCATTGCTGGTTGGTATTTGTTCTCACATGCATATAGAGATAAAAGCATCACAGCTATGTAACTTGTGAAGATTTTATTTGGCCCTGTTGAAAATTACACGGTCAGAACCATTTCATTGGTATCTTGAGAGAAAATAATATAACTTTCAAGCCTCCTTCAAGATATATGGTTAGGAATTGAGTAAGCTTGAAAATCCATTGTATTTGCACACATTTGAGACATCCATTTGGGCACCAGACTATAAAATAGCTGGCTTAGCAGGCTAAATGAAGTAAATGCATTAGGCTTGTAGAGCATTTAGAATCATCTTAGATGAGTTCCAAATGAGAAAAATAATATATATGCATTTAAAGAAAATTAAAATGTATTAGAGAAACTCTGTGTATCAGAGTAAATATTTTGATAATCACTGTAAAACTGTTTTAATAGTGATTTTATATGAACACATGAGGCCAATTACTTAAACATGCTAGACACCTTTCATTATAAAAATAATGCAAAAATGTTGCAAACTCTTCATATATAAGAAAGAACACAGTGTGACTACCTTAACACACCATTGTGTATTAAGATGTGGTATGTTAAGGTAGTCACACTGTGTTCTTCCTTATATTTGAATAGTTTGCAACATTTTTGCTGTCCATCCTTACAGATATTTGTTTTATGCAGATTTTTTTTACATAGTTGTAGCTGCATAATTCAAGTACCTTTTTGCATTTGCTACATTTTTACAACCTTGTTTATAAAGGTAGAAATAGCAACAGTCTATACATATTTGTACTGTAACTTGCTTAAACATTACTCATATGTTGGATATTCTTTTATTTTTCTATTAAAATATCACTACTATAAATATATATTCATATATAGACATATAAAGTATTTTTAGTCAATTTAGATCACATTAATAGGAAGCATAATTGTAAAGTTAAAATGTGAAATATTTTTTATGGTTCTTGATACATACAGCTAAATTGCTTTTAGAAATGATTGTGCATATTTAGAATGCAATTAGCAATGTATAAAACTGCCAGTTTCACTGCACCACCATCAAAACATGATTTCTTCAATAAATAATTTAATAGATTTAATACTTAATAATATTTTCCTGGGTTTGTTTTGTTTTGTTTTAATTAATGCCTTGGCAGAATAGGTCCAATGCTGCTGTGGAAATATAGTCGTGGTTAGAGAGGATGGAACAACGGATTCAAGACTTTTTTTTTTTTTTTTTTTGGTGTAGTTTAGCAGGAAAGGTGCAGAGAGTACGAGGAAGAAGTCATTTCAGCTGGGTGTGGGGTGAAGTGTAGAAGAGTTCCTATTTTAAAATCTAGGGTTTTTCTCCTACCTTTTGGATTCTGGTTTTAAAATTTGGCATATAATCCAATTTCCTTATGATTGTGTAAAGAAAGAATCCCCGCCACCTGCCACTTTAATAAGAAATTTATTACTCTTTTTCCAAAGGGTACTTGTTGTATATGTCAGCTGAAGACAGCAGCTCATGTGAAGCTTAATCTGGACTTACCTGTGCAGTCCCTACCCCTCTATAGCTCTAGAGCCATGCAAAGTCCAACTGCCAATTTCTGGGCACGGTCTACTCAGGAGGAAACTTTTGATTCTATTGTCTGACTTTAGGAACTCCAGCAGATTTTTTTGAAGTATGTTTTATAATGTCTGGTACATGGAAGTCCTGAGACTTCAAACAGCCTCAGACCATTTGGCTCTTGGTCAATTAGGGCAAGTGATTCAACTGTCTCTGCAATAGGCAGCATACAGGACACAAAGGGAACTGGCCAAGGACTTACTGCAGTTGAGATAGGAAGGAGAGACTGTGACAGCCTGCTACCATGAAAGGTATATGTGTGTGTGTGTCTGCGTGTGAGCTCATTGGCCAGGGTAGTAATGGTAGTAATGACGTTTAGGACTACATTTGTTATCTAGGTAATGTAGGGACAAGCGAAATGAGATAGCCCTGTTTTTGTTTTCAGTCTTTTCCTGCAAGGCCTGTTTTTCTCTCTGGGTTGAAAACTAGGACCATTTTCCTGGTTACTGTTTCTACTACTTAGTGAAGTGTAGGAAGAGCACACCTTCCTGTGTGTGAATTAGAGAAAAGGACAAGTCTCTATGTGTGCATGTGCATGAATATAGCAGTGTTCCACAGTTGAAATAGGTCTGGTGGGCCACTAAAAGGGACACAGGCTTGAGTGTTTTTGTTTTTAAAGGTAGGGGTGACTTAAGCAGGTACAGCCTTTGGAGAAAGAGTCTATGGAACCAGATATGTAGAAGGTCTAGGAGAAGAAAGAATGGCTTCTCCTGGGAGAACAACTTTCCTGGGAGATAGTTTATCTACTAATGAAGTTATGGCTGATCAGGCAATAGCAATAGAAGGAAACAGCCCTTGATGGAGAAATTGACTGAAGTCATGGGAATGGTGTACTTGTCATGGAGAAGCATGTTGAAGATGGGAAGAAACAGAAACAAACTTAAATGTGGAGACCTGAATGGAAGGAGCAAGCAGAGTAAAAACTCACAAATGCAAGGTCAGTTTTACATTTGTCACTTTAGAAAATCAGAATTAAATTTATGTTTTAGGAATTTTAGAATAAAATAAACAGGCATTCTTCTGCCTTAGTAAGAGTATTGTGAGCATTATAGTAATTCCGTTTCTAGGTATATACACCAAATAATTGAAAGCAGGGATTTGAATAGATTTTTGCACACCCATGTTCATAGCTGCATTATTCAAAATAGCCAAAAGGTGAAAGCCACCCAAGTGTCCATTGACAGATGAATGAATAAACAAAATGTGGCACATACATACTGTGGAATATAATGCAGTCTTAAAAGGGAGGAAATTCTGATACATGCCGAAACATGGATGAACCCTGAGGACATTATACTGAGTGAAATAAGCCAATCACAAAATGATAAATACTATATGAGTCTATGTAATCATAATTATATCCCATGTAATAAATACTGTATAATTCCATCTACCCAGAGTACTCAAAATTCATTAGCAATAGAAAACAGAATGGTAGTTGCCAAGGTCCAGGGGAAGGGGGAATGGGAAGGTAGTAGTGTTTGGTGGTTACAGAGTTGCAGTTTGGGAAGATTAAAAAGCTCTAGAGATGGATGGTGGTGATGGCTGCACAGTAATATGAATGTACTTAATGACACTAAACTGTAATACTTAAAAATGATTAAGATGGTAAATTTTATGTTATGTATATTTTACCATAATGAAAACAAGTTGGGGGGGCTCAAAAAATAGATACATCTCATACAATTATGGTAATTTGCTGCCAACCACAATTTTTGGACCACTAGAGTTCATCAATAGTGATTTAAATTTTTATAACAATTTAAAAAATCTGAGATCTTTCACAAATACAAGGCTTAGTTTAGTTCTGTATAGTTGTTCCTAAAGTTG